GGCGGCAGCAGCAGCAGCAAAAGAGGCCCAAGCAGCAACTAGAAGCAAGGGCAGGCGGCAACGCATGCGGACCCAAGGTGGCGACATGCTTTCCCTCCCTCCCATCTGCCGGGTCTTCCCCCGGGGCCGGGTCTTCGCCTTCCTGCCTGCTGGCTTGGGCCCCTGCATGGGCCCCCCCCCCCCCCCCATCCATTAGAAGGGCGACACCCAGGAGGAACGAGTCTTCCGAAGGTGACGATTTAGCAGCAGGGCCAAGTCGCGCATCACAAACGTGCAGAGAACCTCACGGAAAAAGACCGACGCGGTGCGCAGGGCATGGGCCACCAGGGCGGCCGTGGAGGTCTGCGGCACGGGCGGCATGCCGGGCATGTGCTCATCCGGATCAAAGCGCAGCAGCCACCGCTCAAGAAGCTGCGCCAAATCGAAGAGCTTGACCAGCATGTCGATGTACGCGGTGTTGTCCTCAATGCGCAGACGAAGGACATTGGCCTGGAGGCGGCCGACATTCTTGGAAATGTTGTTGCCCACGCGCGACAGGTAATGGCCCACCGTGTCCATCTTGGACTCCTTGGCCTTCTCGATCTTGATTTCCCTGATGTAGGAAAGCTTCCGAGCCAGGTTGTTCTGGATGATGATCAGGCGACTGCAGAACTCCGTGAGATCCTGGTGCAGGGAGCTCACATCGTCGGGGTTGGCCTCCTGCAGCTTGTGAAGATAGAGCATCAGCTCATCGCAACAAGCAACCTTGGAGTCGATGGCCGTGATGCGGACGTCGGGCTGGGTCCAAAGAGCCCGGGGGATGTGCAGCTCGCGGGTGACATGAGCACCGCGAGTCATCGACAGGGCCAGCGTGCGCATCAGCCAATAAGGGAACCGGAGCTTCGACGTGGGGGCCGGCTCCAGGATGGGCGACTATGGTGATGCGCGCAATTGCAGCATCCGGAGGGTGCATGCGTGTGTGTGTGTGGGGGGGGGGGGGAGGGGGTCAGGCAGAGCCAGCTGGCGTGCCATCGGCACGAGAGACAATCGATTGCCCGGGGAGGGGGGGGGGGAAGGAAGAAAGCAAACGAGCAGGGAAGATGGGGCACAGGATAACACCGATGCTCGCGTACCGTGGACAACTTCAACTCCTTAAAGGCGAAGGGATTGGAGCTGACCCCGCCGCCAAAGAGGTCGGCACCCTGCTCGGCGGCAGCCAGGGCGGCCGACAGAGCCCGAGCTCGGGCCCGATACGCGGCGGCCAGCATGCCCACGCGATCGCCGAAGAGGGCCCCTGCCTGGCCGGCGGTGCCGGCCTTTCGCGGCAGGGCACCCAACTGGCTCCGATCGACCGAGGCCAGCAGCCCGGCCGCCCGGCGGTAGGCGGCGATCGCATGGACAGCAGCAGCACGGGGGTCCCCGCCAGATCCGACCATGGAGCTGGCCAAGTCCGCCCGGACGGCCAACTCGGCGGCTTGAAGGGCCGTCGCCAGCCGGGTCTTCACATCGACCATCGGGCCGACGACCTCCGTGGAGTCGGCACCGGGGGCCACCGGCACCGGGACCACCGACGGCACCCCGGCCGTCGCCGCGGTCGTGGTCGTCGCCGTCGCGGCGGCCGAGGCATTCACCGGCACCGGAGCGGCGCTTGCCAAGGCCGAGGGGGCCGCAGTGGCCGCGGTGCCGGAGGATGCCGCGGCAACAGCAGCCGCTGCCGATGCCAAATCCCCCATGATGCCGGCCTCGGAATTGACCGACCGCAGGGAAATGGTCGAGGACGAGCTGGCCAGGGCAGCCTGCGACCCGAGCGACCCGGCGGCCGCGAGATGCCCGCTGGACCCGAAGGAGCCACTGGCTCCGGCCTGGCTGTCCGCCGCCTCGGCATATGTGCGCGCCATGCGGATGGCCTCCAATTGCGGGGCCAAGTGCTGCTCGATGCGCTGCTGGGCCTCCAAAAAGGAGGCCCCCTCGGTCCCGGGACCGGGGGTGACCACCGACCCGCCCGGCGTCAAGGCCAGGTCCGAGTACGATTGGGCATACACATCGATCACCGACTCCAGGCTGGAGCTGGTGCTCAAGGGGGTGATGGCCCTGGGGGTGGCGGCATCCGGGACATCGGCCACAGGGATGCTTGGTGGCGGTGGTAGGAGTGTGGCCTGCTCCGGGATCGGAGCCGGAGGACTGGCGTTGATGGGCCCCGCGCCGTCCTCCTGCTGATAGCGACGAATGACCGCATCAAGGGTGGAGGAGATCGAATCCCGCGCAGAGCGGTCCGGCACAGACGAGGCCGACGCCATGACAAGGGTATCTGGCCGAGGGGCAGCCTGGGATTGGGGCAGAGAAACTGGCGTGTCAAGAGGGGCCGGAATCAAGATTTCAGCCGGAGCCGGAGCCGGGGCCGGGGCCGGAGCCGGAGCCGGAGCCAGGACCGACGATGAGACGGGGGCCGGAAGGGGGGCCGGCGCTGGGGCCACGAAGGCAGGCTTGTCCAGGATGGTCGGCTCGAGGGCCGGTGCGGAAGCGGCAACGGCAGTAGCAGCACCGGCCTCCGGGTGGGGCACCGGTGTGGCGGAGGTGGCGGTGACGCCGGACTCCGGACCAAGAATCGAAGACAGCAGGCGATCAATGGTGGACGCCCGGATGTTGGTCGGGTCGGCGGCCGGCAGCGGGGGGATCACCACCGCCGAGAGATTCGGCGAGTCGGGAACCGGCGCAGTGGGGGCAGCCAATGCGGCTGCCGCGGCCGCTGCCGACACCAGGGCCGAGTGGCGGCGACTGGCCGCATGGTGCTGGGGCTCGTGATAGTCGGAGTCCGAGTCGGAGTCCGAGTCGGAATGCGAGTCCGAGCCGCTGGACGAGTAGTACGACGAGCTGGAGTCCCCGTCTGACGAGCAGGACGACGAGCCATCCGAGGAGTAGATCACACGCCGGGGGGGGGCCTTCTGAGTTGACGCCACGGGAGCCGGGATCGGGCCTGGGGCACTGCCCGGCGGGGCGACCCCCATGGGCGAGACCGAGGTCACCGGTTGCGGCGGCGGCACGAAGGACCCCCCGGCCACCGAGGGGGACAGGCGCCCGGTTTCGCTGGTGCTCGTCGGGAAGTACCCGGTCGGGAGGACACGCGAGTGCCGAGAGGACACGGCCGCCGGCGAGAGAACCGCGTAGGGGCTACCAGAGGCATGGGACCCGCCATCGGTGGCCGACGCGGCCGCCGTCATGCTGGCCGCCTCGGTGGCGGTTGTGGCATCCGGCCGCATGCCCGGCACCAGGGTCTGATTGGCGTAGGATAGGCGCATGTTGGCCGTCGGCGAGGCGGGATTCGAGTAGGCCGGGATGCCGGCTCCAAGGGCGCCTCCGCCAGGGACGATGGTTTGCTGGGAGTATGGCTGGTAGACGAAGGCCGAGCCAGGGCCCGGGTTCGCCACCATCGGCGACAGGGGGATGCCCCCAGGCACATGCGACGTCGCAGGGTAGGGCATCGCGGTGGCCGGGCCGCCGGCAGCCGACGCCCCGACCATCGGCGAGGAGGGGCCGACACTGGGGGGCGCACTGCCGGCAATCGGCAACGGTGGGGGGATGGCCACCGGCGCGGGGATGAAACGCCGCTGGCCGCCGGCCGTCGAGGGCGGAAGGACACCACCGGCGCCGGGCGCGCCCGGGGTCAGCGTCAGCCTCTTGGAGGACTGGGAGTAGCCATTGTTCACCTTGGGCGGGAGAACATACGTCGAGGGGAGGTCCGACATGTGGGGGCGGGGGGCGAGGGAGAGGAGGGAGGGGGGTGTCGGCTGCCCGGGGAGCGGTGCGGCGGACGAGCGTCGGCCGAAAAAGCTGGGCGTGGCGCGGCCCGGCGGTTTCGCCCTCTGTCACGCCGGCGAGCCGCGGCCGCC